GGTCCAATCCCCTACTTCAAGTATCACACTGCAGAAACACCACTTACTGGGACAACTCAGTGTTATTTGTCATCTGGGGCAAGTAGCACAGTGGTGAGCTTATGCTCTAGTGTCAATCTCCTTCGGTTTGAATTCTGGCTTGACCTCCTTGCTGTCCATGTGACCCTTGTGCAAATTACTTGACCAATATGTGTCTTAATTTCCCCATCTACAATGGGAATGATAATATACCCAAGATATGTTACCCTTTGGAGAATTAAATAAATTTATATGAAGAATGCAGAACACTGTAAGGGGTTGGTCTACATGACTCTTGGCAAATGGTTAGTCAATTTTCACTATTTTGATAATAGGAATTATGATTACTTATTTTTAAAACATCTGAAGTATAGTTACCGGAGATGCGTGCAGCTGTTGTTTTTAAATCAAGACAGCTTCAGCTTCCTTAACAAGTATGGGGCCCTGAGTAGAAAGAAATGGCAGATATGAGGGAAATAGTAGCATTGCTATTAGGATGCAAATTAATATTGACCTACACACTGGTGATGGCAAAATACTTTCACATGCATCATATCCTTTAACTCCAATTTCATAATAAAGGCCTTAGACGAGAGCTCACTGACAGTCACTGCCCCAAAGGGATAAAAATTACTCTCCACCTATGTGGGAAAGTATGAAAATAGTTCAGACATTAAAATATCAGCTTCCCCATTCATTCACTAATCTCTGAAAGGAAGCTTTCAAGTATAATCACAAATTCATTCATAAAGCAGTTTTTCCATGAAAATGACTAAATAAACGAAAGGTTTTTTTCATTATTATTTCTAACAAAAGATTTCAGATCTTCAGCCCTTACAAATATTTTTACTTATATTCATAAACCTCTTCATTTTAGAACCAGGACAGGACAAATATATAATAACATGCTACATGACAGCAGCATATAAAAAACTTTTTTTTTAATACTCGAGATTGTTTTAAAGGCAATTGTATGCAAAAAACTATTTTTACCATATATGCATGGTGTGTCCTTTAGGCATACAAACCCTAGTCCAACCCACATATTGGACTGCTAACAGCAAGGTCAGCAGTCTGAACCCACTCAGGGCTCTGCCGGAGAAAGGTGAGGCTGTTGACTCCCATAAAGGGTTAGTGCTTTGGAAACCCTCCATGGCAGTTCTACCCTAGCCAGGTTGCTGTAAGTCGGAATCAACTCCATGACATTTAGCGGGGCTAGGTTTGTTTGTTTCAAGCCCCAACCTGATTAGCCATGGAAATTATTACAGTGGTGACAATGCCAGTACCTCCAGTCCAAAGCAGGCCTCGTGGTCTGTTTCGGTACAGCACTTCTCCACCATAGCAGTGAATTTTCCGATCACTGTTTTCAGTTGCTCGTCTGTGGCCTTGGGCTTGTGTTTTACCAGCTCGGCGAGCACACTGTGTTAGAAGAAAAGAAGGGAGAATGGGGTGCTCAGATAAAGATAAAGGAAGGTGACAAGGAGGGTAGTGCTATTATTATTTAAGATGTTTAAGTCTTGAGCTCAGACAACTCTGGGTTGGAGGCCCAAACGTGCCATTCTAAGGCTCATTCTTCTTCTCTTCTGGATGATGAGAATAGTAAAACCTGTCTTCACAGGGCTAGTGGGACCGCAGATGAGATCATTAATGTCAAGTTCCCAACATCCTGAGTAGTGTCAAAGATATAAAAAGAGACTAGGGCTGTTATGTCCCTGTAAAACTCTGAAAAGGATTAGATATTTACAAGTACACATTATCCAGATTCTGGAATTTGCATCCTATTAAACGGGATAGTTTATGTAAGAGTTTAAAATAATCCTTTAATAGTTTATTGTCTCATAGTTCATTTTTAAAGTCTATCAGTTGAGAATTTTTATATTTGATCTTTGAAATTTGACCCATTCATGTGTAAGAATGCAGAGACAGCAGGAAATAAGCCTATCAAAACTTGTGTACATCAAAAACTGTTGCTCTGATAGATCTTTAAATCGTAAACCAAAAGTATCCCCTGAGGTCTTCTTAAAATCAAGCAAAAGTTTAGCTTCTCTAGTT